CAGCAGACACAGAGCGAGTGTTGGTCAGGCCGGTGAGGGACACGTTAGATAGTCGTCGTTTACGGATGCCGCTGCAGTTGTTTGGGATTTTAAAGGCACACCGTTTGTGGTAGTTCAGCCCGCAGCCTAGCACAAAGATAATGACAAAAGGCCATCACATGGTGGTCTGTTTCTACGGCTAATGTAAAGCTGACAAAAGTGGAATGCTAAGACATTTACCTTCACACTTAAGCCCCTGCCTCACTAAACCCCACAGCATCTCTCCACAGTGATCGCAGAACGCTGGAGCTCGATATGAGTGAACGAACAGGGCGTGAGGTCTGATTTGAAAATCCTCTACAGTAGCTGAAGCTGAAAGTTTGAAACAAGCGAAATGTAAATTTCTCATATATTTTGATCCAAAGTAACTTCCAGTAGACCAAATACGGTGTCTTTCTCCTGAGATCAACACTGGGTAACGTGCATCAATCTGTGATCAAGTACATTTCCATGTAATATGTTGTAGTTCACAATTTGGTTGAGAGAAATCATATTAGCTTGTTTTCATTTGTCACAATTACTGTAAATAATTCACTACTTTTGTTTTGGAGTGGATGTTGTCATTTTTCAAATTTCAACAGGAAAGCTGTGATTTGTTTAGAGATATTCCTGTCCCTGATCAAAATGTTATTAACTAATGATGATTTATGGGAATGTTGTTTCATTTGGCAATCATTTCATATGTTTTCCTGTGTCCCCATTTTCACTTCCCTCACTCCCTGTTAGCATTTTCTAATACCTTTAAAAAGCCAATTCCTTAATGACATCCAGGAAGTGACTTCAGCACTTCAGCACATTATACTTTCAGAACAAAAGTAGAAAAGTTGTAACTAGGGCAGTATCCTAAGGTACAAAAGCTAAAAAGTACATCTTTGTACCTTATTTACCCCTAAATATCGGTACATGAAAGGTACATATTCGTACCTTTTGAAAGGGCACTTCCCCAGTGACAGTTTTGTACCTTTTTTTCTGAGAGTGTAACAATGGATTTGATGAAATCTGTGATGTTTTGTTGTATTAGCTGATTTGTCACAGTTTAAAACATTCCATCCGTTTTTATAAAATTATACAAAATCAAAAGATAGTTAAATAAACTGTTTAAAAATTAATCTAAAATTAAATTAGGTTGACACTCTCATGTAAGCTAACACTCAATTCTAATTTTAGCTATTTATTTCCACCCTGTAAAGCACCCAGCTAATAAGCAAATAATCAAGCTATATAATTAATAAAGTGCCTGAGCTTTACCACAGCATATTTCTGTGCTGTACACTTTCATAGAAATATGTCCTTAAATTATAACACTAGTATCATAATTTTTTTACTGAATAACAGGAATGACCCCTGTGTCTTGCTATAGAGCACAATAATAGTAGAGTAAATATTAAAAAAAAATTTTTATAATTATTTATGGGGAGAAACATAATTTGTGCAAAAAGAAATGCTGAAAGAAGCTTGAAAGAGAGGTTTGAGACACATAAGACATAACATACTTATTCAAAATACCCATGTCACGTTACCCCCAACAGCATGTGTGCTTTTACTCCAAATACTATCCTTTCACTTAGTTTAATAGTTACAGAATAACTCTTTGATATTCCACCAAACTATAAATCGTGAGTCTTTTGTCTCTTAATATGTGATAGTTTCGGGGTTTCTCATTAGCTGCGTAAATCTGCAACATTTGATGATCCATGACTCACTTTAACAACCACAATTACACCTCACAATTACAACATTAAAATTGATCAAATTACCCTCGGATTTGATCTTTTTCATTATTCTCAGCTAACTGTCCTGATACTTGCAATTAACGTGATTTGTGCATTTTATTTGAAGTTGCTTTGCTAAAACCATCAATGTAAATCCTTGGTAATTCATTAAAGGAAATGCAATACCTGTTGAGAGACGTCAAGTTTTGACAACCTTAATCGCTGAAACATCTGTTAATTGTGCGTAATTGTGGTTGTTCAAGTGAAGTGAGTCATAGATCATCCCAAGTACTTAATTTCCAATTTACAACTTAAAATCATAATTAGTTGTTTTCCAACAACTCACATAAATAACCACATTTTTTTGTTTGCATTATTTGGACTTTCGACTTCATGAGGGAATTTGCTTCGCTCCTAATCCCAGCAGCACTGAGTAAACATGTCATGATTAAAAAGGCAAACAAATGTTGCAGAGGGAGTTATATCTTTATTTTATGAACCGTCCTCTTTCGAGCTCCCACAAGGCATGTGTATCTTTGGGGTACAGATGGATGAGAGGGTAGGCCAAATCCAATCTATCAATGGCCAGTCTGGCACGCTTTTCCCGTCTCCACAGAACTGCCACAAGGCCTGGGCAGCAGGCTCTCTGGCCTTGCCTAATTCTAATCAGATGGGCAGACCGTGTGTCTGTCAGGGTTAATGGGCTAGAGATGGTGGTCCCTTTAGAAGGGCCTGTGGTCAAGCACTAATTAAGTAAGGACTCATTTTGAGTGTCCGAGAGCTTTAAAATACAACAAAGAAGCAGATTAAGAGCTGCATGACATCTCTGTATCATTTATTTCACTTTAAAGCGTGCCCTCTAAAAATAATACTATGTGCAGCACAGCATAATCTTATAGAACAGAATGAAATCCAGAGATATGATGATTTTAATTACCATCCAAACTCTTCCAAACAAACCCAGCTTTATTTATATTTGCAAATTGTACTATGAAAGGGAAGCTTTTGGGGTGGTTGGAGTGTTTTGATTGGCTCTTGTTGGCTGCATGTTGACAGGACCAATAGCGGCTGAGTGGCGAGCGCAGCGGGAGCACTGTCTGCCTCAACTCACGCATGTTGCCTCCTCTCCAACATGGCTTCCACTAGTACGCTCAAGTAGAATACATTCTGATTAGCCATTCTGCAGCTAAATTACCTCAATTCATTCAAATGATTGTTTTGCCTTTTGTTTAAAGGCCAAGATATGTTTGCAAGTTGAACTACCTGTAAACTGTCATTAAATGCTTCAGGGAAATGAGTATGATGCTGAAAAGGCATCCTGAGTTGACTTAATGCAAATACTTGTTTCTCCTGTAATGTTTTTCCTTGCTGCTGGTGGAAATGGGAAGTTTTCTGGGCCAACACACTCTGGCCTGCGATTCCTCTCCGAGACAGTAAAGGCAACAAAGAAAGGGAATCATTGTTTGGCACACTAAAGTTTATGCATACTTCTTTATCAATATTCACGTACGGTTATTAATCCCACACGTTTTGTATAGTGCTTGCATCTTAATGCACTTTCTCAGTTGCAATTATGTTGATCTAGGCACAGCCAAACATCCTGTCAGCGCACTTCACTGAAGCCAACCAGTGGTTACTCTAAATTTATCCAGCAGAAAATAGACTTCAAGCAGACTTTAAAGACCACAACAGACTGGGTAGAGACCCAGCAGAGAAAGCGTAGGTCAGATTTGTATGAAATGCTGGTCTTTTTAATTACTGCAGGAGATACTGTCAAAGTGATAATCCGAGAGATCAGCATTTATTGGCCCGCTCGTTGCGCCTTTTTTCAGATTCAGGCCAATTACAAAGAATACAACTTTTGCTTTGAAAACCATATGGGTGAGCAAAATCTGATTTTCTTCTAATGCTATCGAAGAATTCATTTAGCTTTAAAAGTGCTGTAAAATACTACGTTTACTTAATTAGTAAAGGAAAACTATGAGCTATTGATTTACTTTTGCGTCAAATTATACCCTTCGAGAAAAGTGACGAGACACTGGGTCCCTAAGGGAGTGTCATAATTAATAACTGTTGACCTTACTTTTGTGACAGTTGTAAAACTCTTTTGTGTTACTTTACAGTGAAAGCAGCTGTCACGTGTGTCATTGAGAAGTGTTACTCTGGGCTCCCAAAGGCTCGTCTATGAGAATGTGTGCATCTGGGTGTGTTAATCACATGATTCATCTTGTCACAGGCATGCACATGTACAGAGAAACACACCAGACTTGGTAGAGAGGCTGGGGGGTAGAGGAGGTGTCAGTCCCCGCTTTATCTCGTCAGAATAGGCTTCACTCAATTACCTGACATAGCACAGGGAGGAGAGGGGGAAGGCCTGCCAAGTGTTTGTAGAAACACTTTAGCAGTGTCAAATGCGATACCTCCATCGCTTTCTCAGCAAAGCAACTCCGGTTTTCACACCGGGTGCAGCATCAAAACTTGGATGCACATCAACTTTTCCAGAGTGGGAAATGGAGGGACTAAGAGACTATTAACAGTCAGAAATGGCACAGGAATCGCACGCTGGTGTGTGGCAGACTGCAGAAACTTTGGCGGGTATTACAGCAAAGTCAAAGTGTCTTGTCTAACCGATCTATAAAACAATGCGTCATGCCACAAATAAGAAGACAATGGATGTACATCTGCGCCTAGGGGCATGACTACATGCTGAGCAAGAGCTATTGAACGCGCCACTTACCTGACAGGACGACTTCCACCAGGTCCCCTTCCATAATTTCCGCCGCGCACCTCACCAACTGCAGAATGTTCTCAGAGTTTGGATCATGACGGAAAAGAAGAATCTTGTCATACATCCCATAGAAGCCACATTCTGGGAACTGTGACAGAAGAAAAATGATGTCTGTCAGGTATTTTTACAGAGTAAAGGCTATACTGAGTGGGTGGTGTGTAGTTTATGATGGTTAGCTTACATGAATTGCTTGTCTACTGATGCCAGACGTATAATGCGTCTAAAAGCCCTGCCCACATATTCAAATTACAGACAACATTTCTCATACCTGAAGCTTTTCATTCAGCTATTAAAAAGTACTCTGAAACCACATTATGATGCTCATGGGACAAACCTAACTGACAAAAACAGATTTACAGCATTAAATGCTTTTCGTTTTTCTCTCTCTCTCTCTTTTTGACTGCTCCTAAACAGTTTTACGAACAGCAGCCTCACAATCAATTCAATGTCAAAAGAAGAGAGCAACATATTGACTGACCCATGTAGACCGCTGGGGAAATGGCTCACTAGCCTCATTCCCTATTGATCCCTGCTGGGTTGAGTTGCAGCAACACTGCAGAGAAGGCCTGCATGAAATGGCAATCAAATTCAAAACCTTCAAACCTACACAATTCACAAAGGGTACTCACATCTAAGTTATTTGGCTTTTATTACACCACAAACAAAAAGATCACAAATAAAAACTACTCTGGCTGTCACAATGAACTTGTATTTAAACTTTGTATTTGCATTGACATTTCTCTGAAGGTTCACACATGCACAATATGCTGGTAGAAAACTGTGTTGAGTATAAGCTTTTGAAATAGCACACATAAAGACAATATTATAAGAAAGTATTTAGGACATATTATATACATTATACATAATATAAATATAATCTTTTATATCATCTATCTTCCTTCTATTATATATTTTTGAGAATGTCTTTTAAATTCTGATTAATTTGAATTTAGGGTAAAATATATTATTACTATTCAAAATTGAATTTAAGGAAGTAGAATTAAAATGTAATAAAATTAACCTTTCATTTTTTAAATATAATGATAAAATATTTTCTTTTAAAAGAATATTATTTGTAATAATATATATAAATGATCAATTTATGAAATGTGACAAATAATATAATATAATATAATATAATATAAAACCCATGACCCTGCAGAGGAAAAGCAGTTTAGATAGTGTATTATATTATAATATATTATATTTTGCACTGAATATTATTTTGATTCATTCTTCCTCTTATCATTCCAGTTCAACTTTCTGGGTGTGGCCAATTCAATTAAAATTCCAACTCATGAATTTCAAGTCAGCCAGCTCTCAAATGCTATGTTCAACCTTTTCCTGATTTAATTTTTTTCACACTTCATAATGGCTTTTCTGGTTTTGCAACCATGCAGCTGAGAGCATGTATGTGCCTGATATTCCTGCATGCATTTAAACATACAAAGATTCAGGAAGCTGCTTCGAATTAGATTTCTGAAGAGGCATCTACAGAGAGCAAAGTATGGCACGGCGCTGAATAGGAAGTGAACGAACGTGGAGAACATCCAATTTCTAAATAGAGACACCGAACAGCAGTGACTAACATTGAGAAAGAAACTGCGGGATTACAAAACGGCTCCATCCAAGATATCTGGATGCTAACAGACCGTGAAAGCATATGATGATTATCAGGCTACAGGTTAACAGATCGAACACTAATCATTCGCCTTGTTCCCAATCCAGTCGAATAGCGCTGTCACATTTATTCACAATTCCAAATGTACCATTTTACAGTCAGAGTCTCTAAAGAGCATCTGATCGCCGCTAATGTTTCAAGCTTGCTTCTAATCAGCGTACTGGTTTGGAGAAAATAGCGATGACTCTATCATTGTTTAGCAACCAGGCAGAGGAGCTCACCTCCGAACGCCCACACAAGATGTACACTGCACCAAAATGCGCTGTAAGCGAATTATTTACCAAAGCAGAAGACTCGCCTTTCAAAAGCAAACCACCGCAAGCACACATTCCAAACCAATGCATGGAAATTAGATTCAAGCCCCACACATAGACTCTCCTCCAGTATTCTCACAACATTATGGCATTTATTAGATTCAACTTGACACTTGTGGGACGGAGTATCTGTTTTCACATTTTCTTTTTGCGGTTTAATTGTGCAGATTCCTTCCCCTCTTGTCTAGCTCTAATGAGTGCTACACAATGAAGATACACAGAGGCAAGTGTGCTTTTGAGGTCACCATGACAGCAGCCTCACTGTAACAGTGTGGGTTGTCATGGCAGCGGACACCCAAGGCTCTTTCCTGATTGAGCACTATTCATTTGTTTGGCACAAATGGATGCACATATATCTGCTGCATGTCTGAGCCATCAAAGCCGAAGACACACCGATCCTTGTCATTAACCCCTTGGGAGATGTCTGGCTCCGATCGGTGGAATCCTCTGACAATAACTCTATGTTATTGCCTCTTAGAGAGCTGCCCAGAACCCTTGCTTAATGGTCTTTCATGACTGTCATTTTCTGCCATCTCTCTGTATGTTTTATAGATGACAGGCTAGCGCGGCGAGAAGAACATCAATTTGGATGTCGTCTTCCCTTTAAACAACTGGTTGCTGAAGCTGGTTGTCAGGGTGGAGCGAGCACTTGTGTGTGTCGAAAAAGGCAGGTATGTTGAGAGAGGAAAAAAAAGATGGACGGGCAGAGAGAAAGAGCGAGCCAGCGAGCGCTCTGAAAGCTTGTAAGGAGTGAATCATCCGTTCTAACTGTCAACCCCCTCTCGCCTACGCCGTACCAGGCTCAATGCCCTGCTCTTAACATTAAACCGTTGTTCCTTCCTCCCAGCACCGCTTTCGAAAAAGGCAGGTATTTTGGGGAAAAAAAGGAAGGAGAAAGATGGACAGGCAGAGAGAAAGAGCGAGCCAGCGAGCGCTGTGAAAGCTCGTAAGGAGTGAATCATCTGTTCTAACTGTCAACCCCCTCTCGCCTACGCCATACCAGGCTCAATGCCCTGCTCTTAACATTAAACCGTTGTTCCTTCCTCCCAGCACCGCTTTGACATCCTAAAGAACCTTATCCCTTTAATTACTCAAACTAATGATATCAACCTGTTGTCATATTGGGAGACATGCATTATATTACATATAAAATGCATATTAGATTACTGCTATTACAATTAAGCTTTAGCATGTATAAATACATTTTCACATATCGGTGGATGTGCACATGGATATGTTGGATGATTTGCAATCAATTAACCTTTGCATTGATATTAACCTACTTTTAGCCTAGCATGCAGGCAAAAACACATTATAGCTACGTTTGAAATGATATAGGTACTATATTTAAATAAGCACTTTTTGTGACCTCTCAAAAATATGTTTTATATAGTATGAATATGTGTAGTATGATTGAAATCTGAACATACTACATCCGCCATGTTGTCAATGTCATGTGTCACTTCACCGATTTGCCTAATAGGACAGTAAAGTCTCCATCAGATGCACACTTCGGAAACTCAACAGAGGTAGTAGGTAATTTGTGTACTTTTGCATACTGCACACTTTTTCCCGGACATGTCCTGGCTGGGATTTCAGAATTGCCTAAAATGTTTTCAATGTTTTCATACTTACGAGTGACCATCTGGTTATTTCCTTGCTCTGTTGCAGGATGTACCTGTAGATGTGACAATGCAGGACATTTACTACTACTGTAACTATACTATGTACATTTTGATCTACATGAGTTGGAAAACCTATTTGCCATTACGTTGGATGATAACATGTTTTACATTGCCAATACGCTTTGTTAATTTTGACCGGCTCTGTGACTGGCACTTAGTTTGCCCAGGTTTGAATGATACAATGTAATTTACTCTACGGGGCCTGTTTAGTTTACTAAATATAATGAACTCAATAACAGGCTAGTAGATAAAAATCACATTTTATACTAAAATAAATTTCCTTAAGTAGTGACTAGTTTATTTTCCTTTATTAGACCATGCAAACATTAAATGCAATTTTACAGGATTTAGTGCAACTTGAACTTTGAACTTTTTTGTTGGATCTGGTAGGTTTGATCAGGATGTTCTTTTCCAGTGCATGTCTAGAAGAAGTTCTGGTTGGTGTAACTGTATTTAAATACTTTTGATGAGGTCCACATTGATTCCTTCAGTGTCCAGTCGTCAGCGGAAAATCCCTCTCTATGATTGCGTTAGTTAGTTATTTTCCCCACTTTAGCTAGAACATGATTAGATAGACATGCATGCATTGTATTTAATATTGTGGTATTGTAATTTTAGGAAAAAAACACATAATTGAAATGTGGGACACTGCTTACGTCTTGCAGGATGCAGGACGAAGCTCCCAATTTCAGGACTGTCCCACATTGTACCAATTGTACCAATCGTGGTTTGCGAGAAGGTGGGATCTACAGTTAAAGGAACACTCCACTATTTTTGAAAATAGGCTCATTTTCCAACTCCAGCTAGGTAACTTCCAATAAGCCTATTTTCAAGCGCTGCGTAATATCATTGCGCCTGCTGCACCCATGGTACGGCAGCAAAGTTCCTTGATTATTACGCCGGAATGGGAGTATAGTTCCTAGCCATATCGGCTTTTCATTTTCCGTCGGTCTTAGTACACGATGTACAGAGGAGTCAAGTTTTAAATAGGAAAAATATAGAAACTCTTTGGTCATTTTTGAGCGAGATGCTAACGGTCTAATCAGATTCAATGATCTATGCTAAGCTACAGCTAAAAGTGCTACCGCCAGACCCAAAATAGTGGAGTGTTCCTTTAACTATCAAAGCAATGCAAATACATGCACAGATAATGTATGAGGCAATTTAGAAATCCTGGCCACGACGTGTGGCCACGAGTGGACATATGGTCATCCTAGTTTTATGAATACTATGAATTCCGACATACTGCCCTGTTTTTCTACATACTATCCATCTTATTTTACAAAACGGAAGTGGGCTATTTTCTATGAATGTGTGAAACTTCCATTTCATTAGCCGCTATATAATAAATAACTGGAAGAATAAAAATGCACTAAACAGTAAAACTATTTGCACTACAGTGTTTAGA